TATATATATATATATATATATACATATGTATATACATAATGTCTACTGTATTCATCAATTTTACACTGCTTTCTGAGTCATATACATTTGATGAACCATAACATAATCCATTTTGTTATCAAAAGTACATTTATGGTTGTCATTATTATTATGATTATTTAAAGATATATTGTCCCATCTTCAAATAGTCATCCTTCCAAACTAGTAACCGATTCTTTCTCACCCTTGATGTCTCCACCCCATTTGTACTTTTCATAGACGAACTGAAAAGTTTCCCCACCCTATTTTTGTTCCACCTTACTCGCACAACGGAAAAACCTCTCTGACCGAGTTGCTTATTCACTCACCTGTATTACATTGATCTTTGCTCCATATCACTATGTAATCGGATGATTGTAAAGGTAACCCACCTTCTGTACCAAAACTTGAATATTAACCTGAAAACTTAGTGTCAGATTCATACTCTTGAAAAGGATCTTCCTAGCAAGATCGAAATGTTGAGGAATAATACAAAATATTTGTTTATTTTGTTATTTGTTCTAATATGCTACGCCGGGATTACACAAGTAAAAATACATCCTATACAATGAATAATTGCATTTTATCTAGTCTTATCGGTTATCCAGCTAGGAGATTCACAACAGCTATGAACCTTAGTTGGTTTTGGGTGGTCGAAGACAAACGAAAGCAACCCTTGGACCTAGGTTTAATACTTGTTGGCGCTTGTCTGAGTAGCGAATCGATAACCTTGAGGTAAATGATATTTGTTCAAATGTCTGAACCCCCGTCAATACAACTTTTGAAAGTCAATCGCAGCAGGATTGGTTGATGTGGGTTTGGATCTTTGAGGGAATATTATTCCTCTCAAGGCTACAGAAACATCTTATTAATGAGTATCAACAAGCACGGAACCCAGCAGCATGGCTTTTTCTCGATTACCTTCAACCACTAGCCATTGATTTCATAAATTGGCATGTCTTTAGTCTTCTCATGCATTTCAAAGTAGGCAGTGGGTGAACATATCCAGCAGATATCCCAACCATCTCGACTGGTGGGACTTAATTATCTCAATAACTGACTTTAAGCCTAACCTTATCACTTAGCATCTAATGGTTGACTGAAAGACACCTTTCATCATATTTTGTCAAAATTTTCATTTCGATCACTTTGTATAGCCATCCTTAATAGTTGTGTAGGATGATCAAGTGTACTGCTAAGCAATAAACTTGCTCTGGATGCAAAGTCGTTTACTTCATTGGTAATTAGAGAGGTTTAAGTCAGTAAGTGTCATGCAAACCTTTAGATTTGTATCGAGATCTCATTAGTAACAGGCCAATTAGGGTTAATTCAACTTCTCAAATGAAACAAGTATTTATTGATTAAACTTGCTTTTCTTAAAATGGGTGCCGTTGCAGACGAACTAACCAGCACGATTTTATTACGTTGGACGGCCTCAAAATGTGTACAGGTGAATGTACACTTATCACTAAAACCATTTAGAAAACGCAGCACCTTCTCTCTGTTTCAACCTTAAGGGAGTGTGTCATTTACACGGGCTGTTAGTCGTTCATATAATTACAGCAAACCAAATCTGCAAGAAATTAGAGGTTGTAGAATAGTCTTTATCAGTAAACTTATAACAAAATTCTCCAAGAATGGTGATAGTGGGAATTCTCTGAGGACACCAGTAATTATCATCACTTCAGATGACCACTATTCACGGTAGTGAATGAGTTAGAATATAGGGATATTAGTAATACTGTGCTTTTCAGCATTTAATTCGTTACCAAACAGTTATGCTACGCCTTTCAGCTAATAAGGTTTGACATCTAATGACATGACATGCATGGATCCTATCTCGCTACCTCAGGTTTACTGTTCCCGAACAATTGGTGGGTGGCGAAGTATTTAGAGATTGTTCCGTTTAAGCTAGTTGTTTTGTCATTATCTTATGAGCGTCAGTCATTTCCTGAAAAGTGGAATGATCAGTGATCGAAAACGATTTTGGCAGGATAACTTTTACTTATCTTTAAAGACTTATGTACTTAGACTATCAGAATCCCCAGTGCCTCAGGTCTCAAACTTACCGAACTTCTATACCACCTGGAGGGCTGACGTTTATCCTATTTATATTGAGTATATGTAGGCCAGCTGAACCGTTCTCCCAACTATTCCGTTCAACAGTGAAGTCGTTCGCTATCAGTACTTATCAAAGGCATGTGTATATCAAGAATAAGATTCCTAACCATCGTCTTTTTTCAAATAAGTCTCTTTTCATCCAGTGTACAATGCTACCAGCTGTTACAAAATGCACTTCTGATTTCATAGGAAACGTTTTGACGCCAATTTAAACACCATAACTAGTAGCAGATTATTCAGAAAACTTTTGATGAGATGTTTGTCAAGAAAATCACCAACCTAAAAAGTGAGACTTCAAGAACGTTCGCGTATTGAGTTGTCAATATCTACTCTTACCCAAACCTCCAAATAACTGGTAAACAGTGGCAACATATTTATCTTGAGATCTTTTCGAACCTTCAAATTCGAGGTGTACAGTAAGTCTGAATTCACGTGAAATTACCACCTATTTACATTTCCATGATAGCGCACCATAAACCACATTTATGCGGTAAACCAGCGATGTCAACTGAGTATTTATCTTTAGTGTATAAAAGAAAATTGGGGTAGTAAAATTGTGTTATTGTGAGCTTCATAGCATTGTCAGCTGATGGCTAGAAGCAATTGAACTAGATAGAGATTTCTGAATTATAAATTGGAGAATGAATCAAGGAACAAATGGATTCAGTAAAAGCGAATTAGCAACAGCTATTTCCCGGTACAAAACGTTGCTTATGTAGAATATGAAATACTATGATGTAGTCAGATTTGAAAATTATATGATTTATTAGTCAGGACGGTCCATTGAATACTCTATATGACTGTTCACAGTTGGCCTTTTTAACTAACTACACAATTTATATAATCCAGTATGTAAGAAATCAAAGTATTGGTTGATCACTTCAACTGTTTATTCTGAAGCACTTTGGTCACATACTTTATCCCTATCATTTTTTAGTAACAGAAATAGTCATTATTTGTATAGTGAGTGATTTCAAGGGAATATTTTCATTATTTCCATCAGTCAAACCATATCAGTGTATTTTGGAAAAAACGTGTGAGCATAAACAATGGAAATATCTTATACCGACGTAACCATGTAGCAATGTCCACTTTTTAACGGAGGCGAATCCACTTAGATCTGGTAAGATGAGCTGAACATTTCTAAATAAATACTTGTAAAAACTGATATTCATTGCTCATAAAGTGATTCTTATGACTCAGTAGCACTTAAAGTGATAAGGTTTGAGTATCAATAGGAACATCACTACACTAGGAGGCGTAGGAGAATCCAAATAATAATAACCAATACTCGTTGCCCGAGGGAGGACTATCGTCCCTCAGTAGCTTAGTAGATGACGCTTTGGCTTTTGAAGCGATGGATACGAGGTTTCGGTCTCAGTGGGAACAAGACCACTAACTGGGGGGCAGGTACATCCAGCTGACGAGTCCCAAGTAGGATGAAACGTTCGTCTTGGATTCCTCCGCTAGCTACAACCAAATAAATCGAAATAATTTGATTGTATATAGATGCTCATAACTGTAATAATAATGCAGTAAGCTTATATTAATTATTTTGATTTTGCTAAGGTGATTCATAGTGTGCAATACAGTCTTGCCACAGAGAGATTGTGAGGCAATGAAACTCTAGGATTTACTAGTGCTTATTTTACAGACTGTTACTTGCTCGTGACAAATTTTTAATTTATTTTGTTCCAGTGATTATAGCATAGTTTAAAGACTTGTTTCGCTTCTTATCGAGTAATTCATACTTTATGCTGGTCTTAAAAAACATCGATTTCCGCTAAATTGAGTCACAATTGTTAGGGTTGTAAGGACTTTCGCACACATTCTAACGTTAACTATTAACTCTAAGGTGGTACTCATCCTGAAGTGATATCAGTTGGGCAACCACTGAAAACTTGAGGTTCCTAAGTAGTGCGCACCCATGACCTTACTAGGGATCGAAACAGCTTTCCGGTGCTCCCAGGTTTTTAGTGGCTCTCCAACTGATGTTAGTTCGTGAAGAATATCACCTTGGAGTCAATAAATCCTCACAAACAACCCCACAATGGATAGCTGTTGATTTTTATTAACCAGTTAGGTTACTTTACACATTGGGTATTTCTTACATCTTAACTGCTGTTAGATAGCATGCTTCGGGAATAGGAAGAGATATAGTTTGAAAATGATTGCTACATAGAACAGTTCTTGGATAGTACTATGATATATTCAACGCTAATTATTATCAAAATCTATAGATTACATTGCATAGTTCGTGTTGCAGATGTAAACATTACAAACGATTAGTGTTACTAAGCGCAATCCACAGATTTGTAGTGCGCCTTCCTGGCACCGAAATGCAACTAGGGTCAAATAAAGTGATTAAAATGAATTAACTAATAATAAATAAATAAATCTCCAGCTTGTCTCCAGATGCTTTGTCTTTTATGTGTTTTGTGTTTTAAATTTTTTCTAACGAGTATGGATCCAAGCAGGCTTCGGGGCCATTTCGCTCTCTCATTGCGTTGGTTAGCACGCACATCCTCAGAGTCCCTAACTCAGACATAATCACTTTCACGTTTATTCTATTTAAATATATTGTTCTCTCGAGCTTATTCCTAAATAACAGTCGTTTTGATTTGTGTTTCTTTATCAGTACTAACACGTTAAGTAAGGTACTGATTAAGCAGGTACTAGAGCTCATCAAATTAAGCATTACGTAATACTAATTACATACGGCCCTCACCCTACACATTCAAGGATTCCAAACGATTGTCAATTACTTACAATCTCAATTGTAAAAATGCTTTGAATGAACAACACAAACTTAATTCTGTCTTAGTATACAAATGACAATTGATTTACATGTTAACGCTTACTTATATTTGACTTTTTAGACCGTTGACCAGGTAACAGTTTTTGATTCATCACAGATTTCATTGTATTACTTCGATGTCCTGATGTTTGTGTTTGAGGTAAAGCATGAAATTGTCGATGAGATATATTCTGTTGATTAATCTTTTCTAAATGTTCGTCTATATCACGTTCTGCCTTACTTGAAGTAGGTGGTAAAACTTTATTGGCATAATTATTTTGTATCAGAGATAAACGACGTTTTATATCATTCATATGATCCTTTGAATAAAAATAAAACAAAAATGTTGTAGATGAAGATGAGACGCCTTCTTAACTGCATGGATATCAGTAATCAGTAAAAGTTAGTAAACACTGAATACTCCCTTGTTGTCTTAGGATACTAGAAAATATTTCTAGATCAAAACTAGGATTAATCCGTGTTGAACCTTTTGATAATGAATACCTTATTTACACACCAGATAGAATATTGGATTATGAAGTTCCAACCGAGCATACTGAGGTAAGAATCCATGTATAATTTGTTGTAATGGATTATTAAACCACACATACTATCAACTTGTCATGGAAATTATATTGGGTGAATACAGATTTCACTAAATGACTCACTGTTTGAAATTTTGAATACCAAAGCTAATGGGTCAAAGTTTTTGAAAATAAAACTATATGTATTTCGAAAAAACCCTGTGGTTTTCATCTATTTTCAGGTAAATGACCACTTTTTTTTATTAAGATACTCATCGCCAAAAACACCGACTAGCAGTACAATCCCAACAATGCACTTTTTAATAAGTACTGATAGACTGCTGAATGGTTTGCTTCATTAAATGAAAACCACTGAGAATCACAGTAAAGGAAAAATGCAGCTTTTTACTAGGCAGACTATAATTCAGTAGATGCAAAGTATTCGGCATATGTTTTAGAAAGATGGAAACAAATTTTTTTAGGTAAACGTCAGAAAAGTAAATTGATTGTTAACTGATCTTTTGCAGGTGCGTTGGTGAAAATCTTAAATATGCTACTTAGACTTAACCCATCCTTTACTTCACTACAATTTTAGTGCACAGCTTGAAACTGGTCGAATCAGGCTAACTTAGGACCTTCGTTGAGAAAACTACTGAGAAAAAAACGGGAAAATAAACTTCATCCACCAGGCAGTCTTCCTGTAATCCTTTCATGAGAGTGACAAAAGTTGATATGATTGTGAAAACCATATAAATTTGAAATGATTCATTTGCGGATTATTTGGTATATTCATCTATCAAGAGAATTCATTTTGTCAGTTGCTTATCTCAAATTCTATTCACACAGAAAGTACAAATCATCTTCATTGCATAGCGACTAAGTCATTGATGAAACATTCATCAACAGAATACTAAGAAATAAAGAGATGACAAAAATACCCTAACGTACAATTCAAACATATTTGCATGTCTATTTGGTTGGATAGTAGACTAAACTATAGACTGACGGATGAATCAGGAACGTTGAATTCTGCCTGTTATCAATCATAAAGTACTGTAATCTGTAGTACGATGGCATCTCACACTAAGCTGTATGACCTGTGAAAGATTTATTGTATCTTGAAATACTTCACGAGATTTGTATTCAAAAGGATTGTATCCACTGTACTGATACAGAGTTCTTTTTAATATGTTTGAGAGATATAAGAAGCTTCGGTATAGTCATGGGCAGGGGATCACATTAAATGCTTTAAGCTCGAACTGTGCTAAGTAGGTTGGTATATTTCTTTCAAACAAGTGTCCATTAGTATTGTTGTTAACACTCATGTTTAGAATACGGAGGAAATAACAGATCTAATTAGTCAACTCTATAATGGTAATTATAATGAGACCTATTGGACAGACCTTATTTGTTGATGTAGTGCAGCTGCAAAAATAACTGCCAGATTACCTGTAGTTGGTCATCATCATAAAATGATTGCTTCTTCTCTGATGTATCCACTGAAGTCTCAGATTTCGGAACACCAGATTTAACACGACAGGGTACAGTACATGATTGACAACAATCAGGTTTAGAAACCCATACTTCTGGCGGAGTCTTCAATCGTGGAGATGTGCTGTACCCCTGATTTTGTGGTAGTAGACATTTTCCTCCAACAAGCTCATGACAGAAACAGTCATCGTTTTCATTCAAAGATGAACGCGCATATTTACATATTTCCTCTAACTGTGTTGATAAGTCTTGAACCTATTAAAAAAAATAATAAATAATATCCATTTCAAATGACATATAGTATAACACAGTACTAACAAAGTCAATAAGATTATTGTACAGAAATCTATCAAGGAACTTACTACGCTGGTATAAATACTACGTCTTAGGAACATCGTCCCGACTTCAGTACAGGGTTTCGAACCTAGACAACGCGTGACAACTTATTAAACTAGTTGATAGTTCAGGCTGAAGTAGGTACATCGCATGAACCGATAGTCTTTAGTCAAAACTTCAAACCAATAAGCTAGATGTGTTCACGGAAGGAAAGGAATATTTACAATTAAATTATGTCATCGACAGACTTTATCCAAAAAGTGGTATATTTGTTAAACCTCTAAGGACAATCTTAACCCACTTGTTTCATACTGATAAGTCAAGTAGTATCGTTTAATTCACAAAACATATGCAGCATTAAACGTAGACATGAACCTTTAGTTCGCTGGCAAGTTATATAGTTTGCCAAGGTAAAGTGTGCAGTGTTTAGTGGTCACAATAAATGCTGTTTAATAATAAAATAGCCATTAGAGAAGTGTGCTGGGGTTAACTTCCATGTGACTGGGTTATTTCACTTACTAGTACTTCATCTTCAGGCTTTCTGATTCCACAGACTTCCATTCTTAGTGTAGATGACATTTACTAGTCCCTTTGATTTCCAAAAAGTACACGCATAGTCTCGATATCTAGATGGGGGTAACTTACAATTTATGTCTGACCACTCCACTAAGTTAGTACCTTTCGTAATATGACGTGTGTGTGTATGCGAGCGTGCGTTTAATACTGAAATGTATTAGAGTGAGATACGCATTGTGCAATTTCTTCTTAGCTGGTACATATTTTAAATAAAAATAAGTTTGAATATAGTTACTTTACAATATACAAAACTGGACTGCAAACGATTAAAGCTAATAGCCCATACCACTTTTAAGATTACCTACCTGTTCCTTTAAATCGAATGATTCTTTATCATAATTAATGTTCTCAGTTCCTTCAACAGTTTTATTAAAAATCTCATTTTCGATATTTTGATGGCCAACTCTAATGTCTGTTGCTGGCTGATCAGTAGTCGGACAATTATCATTTAGGCAAAAAGGATCTTCAAAAATCACTTTTCTGTATTGACGCATTAGAAGAATGAAAAAAAGGGAATTTATTACCGGCTGGCAAGTTTCGATCTAACTGTTGTTGGTGTTGATTGTTTACCTCTTGTTAAACTAATAATACCATCTTTATTTCTCAGGCGTAAATCTGAAGGAATATACTCGTTCATCACTTTCTGGGAGGGCAGGTAAAAAAAGGGATATGAGTTTGCATCTTAAATAGTCTGAGTACTTGACAGCAAAAGGCAAATATTAACAGTAATAATAAACCGTAATGCATTCCATTATTTATTAAATTAAAAGTCTAGTTCTTCCTGTATAGGAACTACATAAAGAAATATTTCATATGCAGTATTATTCAACTTTTATTTTTCCTTTTAACCAAAGTGTTTGTGTATTAGCATATAAATCTCCTCGAACTTTTACCGAATTCTCTTTCGCGAAATTATTCTCTATAGTACGTAACCCGAATGAATTTCATTAATGATTTATTTACCAAGTTAATCCTTAACTAAGAGATGCAGTGGAACTAGGATACAAACAAGAAAACTTTCACTAGTTCAAGGCCTCTTGTGGTTACAAATAAACTACCTGGATTTCTGTGAATTCTGGTACATTAGTGTGTTGATTCAAGTTGTTACAAATAGTAATGGATTCGAGTAATGAAACTATACTTTCAAATCTGGTTTTTTGATCCTTGTGACTGAAATTCTAGTTGTCTGTTCATCTGAAATAGATGCGCAGCCTTCTTTGAGCATGCTTTGACTTCGGTCAACTTCCTGTCCTACTAACAAAATTGATATTTGAATGCCTCCATATTAAAACAGTCAGCAGGCCATTTGGCACTCAGGTTGAAAAAAGTTACTGTCTCACAATAAAGCGTCACTTTTCGCACATAATGAAGAAAAGTTGTACAATTCATACAATTTCTTATGAGTAGTGGTAAAGTTGTCAGCTATTTATCAGAAAGCATGTGACAGGTAACTAGAACCTAAGACAACATTCTACACGCTCCCGTAGGTTGTAAGGACACAAGTTGTTATTCACAAGTTACAGTAACAGCATTACAAGTTATCTTGTAAAAAGTAGACTTAAATATTTTGACTACAGCTTAATCAGTTAAAAAGACCTTAAGAGTTCTAGGTCCAGGACATCAAAGTGTTTGGAAAAGGTTAAGCTAATTTATTCCTGAACTTCAGTTATGGTCGCAATTGCACGGCATATTGAGACCGCGACGCAATACGACTCACAGGGTGATTACTAGGCTATTAGCTTAAACTTCTGTCATAAACATTACATAAGTTGAAGGAGCTCTCGCAAAAATGGATTTCTTAGACTGATGTAGCCGTAAGTGAAGTAGTCACATCCCTAAAAAAGGAATATCTGTTACTCACAGTCAACCAGTCAATATCAACACAGCTGACACCTAGTTGTGATAGTCCAGATGGTCTATTGTAATGAACAACCCCACTTGCTGGTGGATGAAACGCTTGGTTCCAAAGTACTATCACTCAAGGAAGTTTGACTAGAGAATGATGAGAGTGAAAGCAGTTAGAATCTAGTTCGTAGTTGAAGTGATAATATCAAGAATACTAGGGTGCAATGTCACTAAGGTGTTTGAAAGGATGAACAGTGTTCGATGGTGTCCTCTGTTGCTGAGAGGACGGACAAGAGAAAATTTGTCCCAAAAGAGAACACTTTTCCCCCACGAAATCATGGAACCTGTGGTAAATTTCTGCAGAGTACAGAGTAAACCCAATAAAATTTTAATGAAGTATTTCAAAACCGTTCTCTGCAGTCCATCTTAAGCAAATCTCATCTGTTGATTGGTCACTGGAGGCTAACTAACTTCGTGTTGTCTATTCCTAAGTGATGACTGAGTTCTATTAATCATTTTACAATATGGCCACCAGACTAGGGAACTCAGCATCGTGATACACTTTGAAAGGTGTCAGTTGGATGGAGGCAATCGGCAAGAAGCCCTGGACCTAAGATTCATACTTGTTGGCACTCGTCAGCAAAGCGTATCTCAACCTCGACCCCGCCTGAGATTCGAAAATTAAGTTGGTTAATCTTCAGTGACCAGACAATGTATTTAATCCGCTCTACAGGAAGTAAGTCGCAGCCCAAATAGCTTAATGGTAGCGTTACTGATTACAACACTTGGTGACGAGAGAAATCAGTTCCGTCGGGTTGCAGATACGCCATGCTAACGAGTGCCAACAAGCACGAAACCTACGTCCAGGGCTTCCTGCCGATTGCCTCTATCCAACTAACAGATTTCACCTGAGACATAATGCTATGGCTCTATGTTGACAAGATGTGTGAATAGGCAGAACGTTTCGACCGCTAACCGACTTCCAGAAGCACTCAAGTCCCCTTCGACTAATGGTAAGTATTTCCTTCATTGTCTCCCAATTTCTTCTTGTATTTTTTTGCCTAAGTCGAAGAGTTTCCAAGACTTCTGCCTCTACAACCCATATGGTGGACTCAAGTTCATAAAGTGGCATCCTCAAACTTCTGAAAGTGCTAATGAAAATACTTCCTGAAACATAGCTATTGTATTTTTACAAACGTGGATCCAACTTCTGAATGATAAAGCAGTAACTTAAAAAAACCATGATAGACTCCTATTTCCTTTTTGAGGTTCTTTATTTCGAATAAATTGTACTGAAATCAGTTTGGACTCCTAAGAATGTCGACAGTACAGAGGTATCCATTACGGGTGGCTTCAATTTATATGCAGGTAGACGCTCAGTTAGTCACTCAGAAAATAAAATGTGTAGTACTTTAGGAATCCTAATCTACCGAAACAATAATGATATCATCTTGCTGCAATATGCTATGACAGCAGGATTTGTCTAGTGAATATCTATTTCACTAATGAAATCGGTCAAAAGTGAACCTAGTAAAATATCGAAGATGTACCAACCAAACTGTAAACAGTTAACAATCCAGCGGTTTGGAAGATTTGTACTTTTCTGAAGAATATGCATCGATCGTTACTCCATATGTTTGGGAACACATATGTCTATACGTTAATGAACACAATAAAAGTTACAACTGAGAAACGTTTACAAACTGAGCTTGGAAAATATTAAAAGGAGTTATCTGAAGACAAACTTATTGATTAACCAGCGTAGAAAAATATATTTACATGTCCTGGAATATCTTGGCATTATCTGCATTCAGTTGTTAAAACGGCGATAGAAAGATGAGAAAGTTTAGTGTATCTCTACAACCTTATTCAAGCACGTAAATGCACTACAGTTGGCTCTCAAGATGATAACAAGCAAATGTAACCAAACTATACTTTGAATAAGTGTATGCGAAACTATCATGAGCAGCAACAAGTGACAAAATAGAGGAAATGGTTATCGCATAAATTTATGCAGAATGTCGCTCAAACTTACCGAAATTCTATTAGACAAAGTAGAGCCTACTTTTTGAAGTTGGATCAGTTGGTCATTTGATAACTGATGAAATCTCAACACAAATAAAGTGGCAGATTAGCAATTAATATCTCGCACTACTGGCTGCACCGGCAACATACCTAAGTGTATATTAAGAGCTGACCGACTCCCACTACATCTCTTCATAAGGGTACAGGATTGAATATTTAACCACCTTTGTCTTCATATCACCACCATGTAACGACGAAGTTCCCAGGTTGGGAAAGTCAGTGATAGGCGCAGAGTAATGTGTAAACGAAACAAATTAGACTATAGGGTTTTAAATGTCATCGAGTGAGGTGTTTAGGACGCGAGCTACATGTGCGAATCGACAGTCAACTTGAACACCGTCACCTGATAAAGCTAGTAATACAACCAGCAAATCACCCACCATTTAGTACATTGGGCAACAAACCATTTATATAGTGAGTGCTAATGAGGCCAACTGGCTATCTAAACTCTGTGTGGTAGCATTTTATCTTGAAATTCCCATTTTAAAAGTTGAACGTCTAATCCAACAGGCTACTGAAGTTTAGTATAACCACTTCAAGAGCTGATAATAACCCACTTAGGTTTGGACTATTTGTATGAGATCTATGGAGAAGAGAAAGCTTTCTGGTTGAGATCTGTCAGGCGACTGATTGGATATTTTGAATCATATTAAACAAAACCCATTAAAGATGGTCAAATGTATCTACACTTCATCTATATCCGAGTAGAAAGTTCCGATGACCGCATATCTTGATTCCTTCTGTAGTACTTTCCACTTTCCAGAGTTCCAAACCACTATTTTTTCCATTTCTTTTTTCATAATGACTTTACTTTGTAGTGATAGTATTAGAAGTAATCGTTTGGTATAAGCATAAGAAAACGAATGATATCATAGTGCTAAATTATGCAAAACTATATGTAAAATATATGAGGTTATAGCAGGGAACTCAGTCACGATTTTCACACAAACAAAACCTTTTTACAAAGAACCAGTTCTATCGGAATCACCTTGTTAAACATAGGTTAATACGACGGATACATGGTTGTAAGCACTGAATACACTAATTATCATACGACTAGTGCAACTACCCTTGTATAGTCTACCTATTGAGATACGTATTTGAACTGCTACTCAACAAGCCATACACCAAACAATGACTGAATGAATGTCATAGTTACCAGATGCAGTGAGAACCTACCCAGCTAAAAATCGAAGATATTCACGGGTACTGAAGTAAAAATTGCAGCGAATGCTCCTACAATTCATAACACTTATTTCGTTTACCACAGTTTTCTTCAATTGTAAAATTCCCTTTAGTGAGAAGAGGTCAGGACTCGAAGTAGGGTTACGAGCGAAAGCACGAGGCCGAATAATGAATTGAAGGCCAACTTTACAAAAAAACAATGAGATATTTAGACGAACGCAGGCTCAAATATAAGCAAGTCCCTTTTTGTGTCTCAAGCTTGGTTCTAAATTGACTATGTACTCTCACATTACAGCTCACTGCTTAACAACGTGAAAACAGTGACTAAACCTTATGATATGGTCAACTTGTCTACAGTTAGGTAATGACACATTTTGCACCTTGTTTACGAACGAAGACATACGCATTTCAAAATGCAACAAATACATCTTGTTATCCTAGCTCTTGTTTGGTATTCCCAGGGTAATATGCATACTTTAATATAACGATCGTCGGGGATTTTGACACATGCATTGAATGAATTCGAGTCTAGGCTGCAGTAAAACATCCGAAGATGCTACTTTTTTATTTAAACTATAACTATAAAACCTACAGTAGTATCCCACCCAATTAACGAAACAGAAGCAAACGAGGTAATTGAAGATGATTGGAACAAAGGCTGTGGCTGGATAGTTTACTGCTAGGAATCTCAAATGGGAGTGAATCTGACAGTAGGAACATTGAAAACCAACAGAATAAACAAGGTGACGATCGATTACAATGATCTATTTAAAACATAATTAATCGGGATAAGGAAAACAACATGACTGAAAGAGTGGCATCCGAGGCTACTCAGGGAGATTGTTTCTCACGCAGCTGAACCATTGAATACCATATTTAGACTGTTTCTCAGTGAAGGCATACTCCTCTATGGTTGAAAGGACCCCATAATCAAGAAAATTACCATGTAGCACCTATCATATTATAGACCGACATGCTTGGCTGGTATTGTAGTAAAAATCCCAGAAAGAGTAATAAAGAAAGTCATTACAATCCACCCGAAAAGCAAAACTCTATTGTACCGTTTCATAATATGGCTTTCGTATGCGTTTCTCTTGCTTGGCAAACCTTCTTAAAGCCAGAAAAAGTTGGGTTAGGTATAAATATGATAAGATACTAAAAGAAGTCATTTCTATAGACTTCAGTAAAGCAACAGACAAAGTACCTCAAAAGAGGCCGCTCGTGAGGCCAGAAAGTTTGGAATCACTGAAAATCTACCTGCATGCATCAGAGAATTCCCTCTTGGTAGGAAACAAGGATCAATACTCAACTCTCCATTTGGAAGTCGGTCCAGAGCGAAGTTCGGCCAGCCACAGTCCTGTGTCCTCTACTATTTCTCATATACATGAATAACTTTTCACGATCACAAAATCCCCATAGTTCTGTATGCAGATGAACATCTGACGAGAAATTAGGGACAATGAAGTGCACGTTCACTTCAAGTTTTTAACCTGGTTGGATAAATGGCCGATGTCTATCAACGCACACATGTGAGCAAGCACATAAGGTGCACCGATAGGAACACACAATATTTCTGGGACTCCTATACTCTAAGTATCAACCAATTAGGAGGCTACAGAGCACTTTTGATTGGTTGGAGATCGAGGTTTAAGAGCATTTTCGGCGCTACGCGAAACTTTTACGAAAATAAGTGGTTATATGTTCACCATCTTACGCACAAGTTTAGTTGGATCACAACTGAAAGACTGTGCTCAAGTGGCACATTCTTCTGTATTCTGGAAGGAATTTAGAGGATGGCCACTCATAGTCCATATGTCGGATAGACTAACCTATGGAGAACAATGTCAGGGGCTGATCCCCTTCTTCTTGTTTTATGGCACACAGAGGGGAAATCTAATCATATTATAAGAGGTTTTAAGAAATGACTTCAAACCTGGTCTATCGTTTCTTTTCCTTCTCACTTAGTCGGAATATCTCAGACAGAAAGCCGAAGACGAACTTCATGTCCGTAAGAACTGACTTTCGTATGGAGAAATCAACTCTTGTGACTGACTTCCAGGAGAAGGGATGTCCGTATCATCAAAAGAGGATAGGTTAGGCACAGAGATTTTCGAGAAAGGGGCTATAAAGACTCATAGCTTTCTACCCTCAAACTAAAATGTGGATCTAAATGAAGTCAATATGTTAGAAGCAAATGGCTAGAACAAGCGACCGAAAACGTTAAGTAACGACAAGATTGGATGTTGAAATGCGACACAAAATTCACATATGTCATCTCGACGTATCGTGAAGACCAATATTGGGAAATCGGTTTCATATTCCCGATTTCTGATTGACTCAGTCAATTGATACCTGTTGAGAAACACTTTACATGCGCGAACAATTGTCCCAGTATTGTATAAGTGTGAGTCGGAGCTACACAAGACACAGTGTAATATTTAGGGTATGTATTTGCTAAAGCCAATTAAATGGTACAGTACCAAAATGTGCTTTGTCAAATGGAAAAATCAATGGTGGTATTACATTATAATAGTGTCCACATTCTATGATCAAATTGTTGACACAGTAGCAGGGTGGAGTGTAAAAGACTACTGCTTCATACGTTAATTATTGGAGAAATGTAGTCGAACTGAAAAATGATATTCTGCTTCTCAAAAGTGAAAAAGCATCAAACTGCTTAAGGCTACACTCTTACTGCTTTTACGAGACCAACCATAAATACAAATAAACTTGAAAGCGTGCAATTAGTAAATCTATCCTGAAAACACAAAGTAAGTTATATAAACAAAACCACTGTTCCAGAGGTTCCATTGTTTTACAGATGTAGGAAATAATAAAATGTCTCCTGTTGTATCTTAAACGCCAAGTCAGAGGTTCAGAGTTAGATATTTAAAGTACCTATAGCCAGTGTAGTTACAACTGGCATCACTGAGATATATGTTCCACCCGATGATTCCTTTCTCTACCTCATTTCGAACGCTAGGGAAGTGAGTGGATATACGATAAAGCGGCTGAAATTATGGCCTTGTTTTTATTGACTTCGCGTTACTGAAGTAGTGAATGTCTCGAAGATCCCACGTCCAACATCCAGTATGAAAAGTATGAGCGTAGAAAACTGACGGTTTTTGGCCTCTCACGTCTCGTATATGGACTTCATTCTTGCTGTTCGGTTTTACTCATATGGTGAGCAAGGTGGTATTTTCTTCTGTTCTACTATTATTTGTAGTCGGATAAGTGATTATGTTTGTTGGTATTTGCAGCTTAATAGTTAGTTTGGTATGGAAGCTAGGAAGTGCCAGTAAGATAAGGGTCCTTTCACTACTCTTGTCTGTATACATGTCTGAACGATAACAGCAGGATAGTCCAGGAAGATTTATGGAATGTCCCTAAAGAAGGAAGGTAGATGGTATGGTGTCAATTACTGCGTAAGAGGCGGGAGACAATGAGTGTACCAAAATAGAAGTAGTAAATAAGAAAGTAGCTGTGTGCTGGCAAGGCCATTGGTATCTTGAGTATGCTGTCGGTAAGCCACATCAACTAACACATTTATCTAGCCCTCTTCCGAATGAGTCCACTGAGAGTGCTTCACTGCAGTGAGTCATTCCGTAGGGCAAATACTCATTAGGGAAGTAAGTTTGACCCTAGCCTGGTATCGGCACTTTCATGTGTCAGTCTGATGGGGTTCTCTCGTAGTGAAAACCACCTAGCAGCTGATGTTATTTTACTTGGATGACTTGCTCGATGAAAGGCTATCAAATGTCCACTCCTCTGTCTGCTATCAAGTAAATGAGCTAAGGGGCCTCATTGTGTGAGAATATGTTCTCCCCCCTTATTCTGACAACTAATTTAATGCCGACTCTTCGAATTTTATCAAACGGACTTGAGTCTCCTGAATGCTTGAAACACCGACTTAGTGGAGGCTCCCAGACGCAGCCGCACGTAGGACTTGAAGACCCTTAGAAATAGCTCAGTTGTGAGGTCACCAAGCTGTCTGCACAGATAGCCAAAAGCGTCTTCGCTGCGGCTGATATTCCGTTTTATTCGAGGTGGTGCTCAGAGTTTCGGGAAAGTCTGACCTTAGGTATTTTCCCTTGGGCACTTTAGTGACGGCATGGCTACCCAACCTGTAAATGAATTCGGTCATCTTTGTTTCGTGAGTTCGGATGTACATAACTTTGCACCCTTCCAGGTTGACTTCCAAACCGTTCTCTGGTGACCAGTTCTCCGGGTAGTTTTGGGGTAATCCCCGGTCAGCCTCTTCGCTTGACACCCTCCGATTTTAAACATCATCAGCCAAAAGGATAGGTGATAACATTTTGTGTGCGAGAAGGTTGATGAATATAGGGAAAAAGAAATGACCATGGGACTGCGCTCCAAAATTATCCCACGTCGATGGCTCCCAGCTGAGCTGTATCCTGTCCACTTTCTTGTAGAGCTGCTTGCCTTTTGGATACTCACTAAATCAGGAAAGCGCAAGTTTATTCATACCTGCCAAGGCGATCTTGTGGGGTGTATTTCGTGCGGAACGCTAACGAATACTTTTCCTAGGTCAGTGGAAATGAGTTGGCTTTGCTTTCTGTTGTCCCAGCTAAATATCCAGTCGACCCTGGCGGTGGGCAGTTTGGTGTTACATGAACGTCCACCACGCAGACCACGCTAAATAGTATGAAAGGTGCCTTTCTCGTTGAAGAATTGCCAGTCCTTATGTCCTACTAGGCTTTCGAATGCTTTAGACAGTGATGGGGATAAGGCAGTTGGTCTGAATTTGCTAGAGCTCCTCTCGTCTGCTACTTTAAAGATGTGCCCTTTGAGAAGGATTCCACCTGATTCAAGCAAGCGGGTGAATAAACCACATATCGGATTCACACACCAATTCTTCCGGACTCCTGGTCTGAAATGACTACAGTCAGGCCCCTTTCCAGGGTCAGATCGGGATAATTTTTCTGATGCCTTTTCCCGTGTGGTGGCGACGCAACAGGGATACTCACTCCCATCGGTATGACAAGGAACATTTCTTGGCTGTGCGGTTTTGGTGTCAGAAGTCCTGAAGCTGTGCTTCAAGGCATGAGCTCAGAAGTTCAGCTATTCCTAAACTGCCCAGCGGTTCTCCGTTGGGGCCTGTCATAAAACCAACTCTTTTGTTTATCAGTTTCCTCTTCGACGGTAATACACCGGTACAGTTTTTCGAGTTGCTTTGTAACCTCCTCTTCGGGTTTTATTGATAGCTGAACCCCTCGCTTCGGACTCCATTGATGCACTAGTTGCAATCTTCGGTAGATCAGGAGGCATGACTTCCTACGTGACGAAAGCTACTTGAACCAGGCCTGCTTTCATCTCTGGTGTGTCTTCCAACTTTCACGCTTTAGCCATAAAGTTCTCATCGGCTGCCGATGTATTGCCTCTGGCATGCCGTTACGGGTCCCCCTGAGGACTGTTTCTTTCAGCTACAACCACTGTTCATCTAGTGCGAGGAAGTAAACTCTTCAGCTTCGGAGTGAAGGATTTGGTAGCGTATCTTCCTTCCAGCTCGAAGTGGATACATGATGCGTTGAAGTCATTGAGAACGATAAGGGAATCATAATATACTGGGGCAGTTGCCGATAGTGTATTGGTGACCTTTTCCTCGTGGCCAGGATTCCTAGCAGATTATCTATATACATAAGTTCTGACGGGTATATAGTGCAGCGGAGAGTCAAGTGACACGATAGAGTGCAAGAATTAGGTGAAAGCAGCACCTTCCATCGTTCTCGCCTTTGAAAGCTTGCCTACCCAGAGAGTCACTTCACTTCCCACTACGAGACCTGTATCCCTTTGAAAGATATCCATGTCAGCGACGCTCATTTCTTTATCAGAAATATCTGGTGAGAATCGAGACTCCGCTGCTGATGTGGTATTGGTGTGCAAGTGTTCACGGAGCGTCCTCACCTGCTGTTCTCCCCTAAAATTGTAATGCGTACATGTCGGGGTGTGCCAGATGAGGGTAAACTCGTGATCACATATTACTATGGGGGAAGCGCAAGTGAGGTTGGTTTCTAGTGTCTCGTCACAAGTTCTCATAGGACCGGGATCGCTCCCTTTTTAAAGTTTCAATTTCACTTCAATGGAGGATCAGAGTAGCAGAAGTTTCACCACTTGTTGTTCTTCACTCTCTAGTTTGTGTCCATGTGATAACCACTGGCTCGGGAGGTCTTGGAGGATATTGTCTGTTTACATACCCGGTGGATCTTGATTTACTCACACACAACCAAACTGAGGAGATTACACTGTCGTTTACATTATGCCTGTAAGTGTAATCCTCTTTGAATAAAGTGTATGAGTCGAATTCGATGTCTGATAGTAGGGGGATGGAGACGAACTGCAGATAATGATTAAAAATAGCGACAATTTCGGGTTGGTCTTAGCGGCCCTCTACGTCCTTTCAACGGTAGAATATCGAGGCCAGTTGCCATTTTAAGCCACTGCCGCCGTTCGACGTCGACAGAGTCGTGCTTTTTGCCAGAGTTTGCGCTTGGCAGTTCTGGAATTTCGAGCGCAACCACTACTGTGTTTTTCTTTCCCTCTCGTAATGGCGACGGTTTTTTCCGTCTGCGCTGGAATTGGTAAGTACTGACAGTGCTTGACTAACCTGAGAGAAGCAGAACGTCCACAGTGTTTTTCTTGAAACTGATGGAGACTCTTAAGCGTGGTAGCTTGTTTTAGGGTGCTCATCTCCCCCCCCAGAGTTCCCCGGCGAGTGGATAAGTCCACATTTCGGGTAGTGGTCAACCCATATTTGACCGTCAAACTGTTTCATTTTAACCGAATCTGGTCCGTCGGTATATCAACATTTAGCAAGGTGATAGTATTGGCTGCCTTGTGGCCTGGATTTGGCACAACCGGCATGAACGACCTTGGGCAGTCACCTTTTCGCGTCTTCTCCCTGTTGCGACGTCAAGGGTGCTCTGGTTGTGTTTCATCACCAATCCCTTAGGCAATGCCTTCTGTGAGTTTGTAGGTCACCGTGGCCAGGTGGCCAAACTGCCTTAGCTCTCGGTTCTCCTCGGAGGTCATTCCCCAGGAAATATCTTTCCTGGTTATACATACGCATCTGGAGCTTACGGTTAAACTCGTTGGTCAAGAGCAGAGGATCAAGTGACAAGTGTCTGAAGGTGAGCCAACATAAATTATCTTCCCTTTTCTATTCTGTCCTTTTGCTGCATTCAGTCTTCAACCCTCTTATTGTTGTTAACTACTTGTTTTCCCAAGAAGTTTATATCATAGCGACATGTCTGCCCAAAACGCTAGGTCTGAAGCTTTGACACGGATAACGCGGTCGTGCACAACAACGGCCAGTAACACCCTAAACAACACACTAGTCTGTACTAGAAGACAAACAGAGGTAGGGCAGAACACCGAACTTCTGAAGAAGTGGCCAACCCATGTTTCTAGAATTCCAGTCGCCATCAGACAGGTGACACAGAGTAGCACTAGCCCGTCACAAACTAGTCCTATCTTGAGCAAGGATCATACCATGCCTGAAATAGAAGACGACGTAAAAGGCTTCAGAACAAGGCAGCCACAAGCAGTTCGCCACAATCCGTAGCACCTTATTCATGGAAGGAAGGCTGTATTACGACACCCGATGGCTGCAGTGTTTGCACCAAAGTTGTTTCGGTAGTCGATGAGGCATTTGCATGCAACCTGTGTCAACGATGGGTGCATTGCCACTGCGATACC